GGTGTCGGTGTCCAGGCCCGAGGGGCCCCCGGGCGCCGCCATGCTGGGGGCGCGGCAGGCGCGCGGGGGACTCTGGGGGCTGTAGTCCGGGGGGGCGCGGGGCACGCTGGGAGCTGTAGTCCTCCAGCGCCGCCTCCCGCAAGAGCCCCCGGCCCCGCCACCGGCACCTCCCGAGCCGGCCCAAAGCGGCTGCTCCACCTCTCCGTAAAAGAGCCCGTATCGCTTCGTGTTTGCAAAGAAAGAGAGAAGCGTTGAATCACTGAGGTTGGGAAAGACCTTCAAGATCATAGAGTCCAACGTTAAGCCCTACTCTACTGTGTTCACCTCCAAACCGTATTTGCAAGCACCACATCTATAAGGCTTTTAAACACATCCAGGAATGGTGACTCAACCACTTGCCTGGGCAGCCTGTTCCAACGCCTGACAGCCCTTACAGAGAAAAGAAATTCCTAATGTCCAGCGTGAACCTCACCTGGTGCAGCTTCAGGCTGTTCCTTCTTGTCCCATCACTATTTACTTGTGAGAACAAACCAGCAACTACCTCTCTACAATGAGAGAATGATAAGGTCTCCCCTCAGCCTCCTTTTCTTCAGACTAAACAGCCCCAGTTCCCTCAGCTGCTCTCATAAGACTTTTTCTCCAGGCTTTTCACCAGCCTAGTTGCTTCCCTCCACACCCCTTCCAGCACCTCAGTGTCTTCCCTGTGTTGAGGTGCCCAAGACCAAACAACTGCTTTGTCCATATATAAGGAATGACAAGCTCCAAGGATAATAAACTGATCTCCAAAGAGCCACTAAATCTTCAGCTCAAAAAAGCTAAAGATCAGATGGGTGACGTTCTGTTTAGAGCTCTTAACCAACTTGCCCTGAAAGACCCTTCATCTCGGTTTAACAACACTCTCCTGGCCGTTTCCCTCTAACCGGCTGTTGGAGGCACAGGGATTTCTAGAACAGATTGCAACTGTGTTTCATCTCAATTACTTGCCTCCACGGATGTCAAGCACCAGATGCTTCAAAGCATGTTTTAGAGAAGCAGATCAGGCAGAGTTCAGTGTGCTTACAGGCCTGCTCTTTGAAACACGGCAGTTTCCAGAGATACGATCCAGAAAAAACCAGACAAAAACATGCCATGTGCCAGAAATAGCTGCTGGGTGTGCTTTGCAAACAGAGAAGTGAAATGAGCAGCAGCTCTTGGAAATGGATCTTGCCATCAAAAAGGCAACCTTGCAAAGAAAGGCAAAAGGCTGCAGACAGATAGGAACTCTTTTGCGTGGGAATTTCAAGGCAGGAAGAATATCCCCAAATTTAGATTGGGAATTTAATGATTTAATATAGAGTTAAGATACCAATGGGTTGAAAATGGGAGAACTGATGAACAAAATACTGATAAGAGGTTCAAGGACTTGGATTCTTGGTATATGTATGACTTTTGTAATTAAGAATTTTAGGAGGGGGTTTGTGTATACCATAAATATCAACATTATGCTTGACAATCTTATGACTTAAATAATGAAAAGGGACTAAATGGAAGTGATTTATTCTCATGCATACCACAAGAATGAACTGACAACCAGGGCACAAAGTTTTTCTGACTCTTAGCTATTACTGGCTACCAGCTGCACTGAAGAATAGTCCATGTATCACCATTAGAATATATAATATAAATTATATTTCCTCATTATGCATGTGATATATAGCTCTTTGAAAGCTAATTTCCTGGCTTTGGTAAGGAAAGTATTATTTTGCATCACTTATTACTGCTATTCAATGTAGTTACTCTTTGCCAGCAGGAGTAAATCTGAGTGTTCCATGAGTAATCTCCAGCTGACCTACTGTGTTAAATAAGTCTGTTCCCCTTCTATTAACCTTAGCTGTAAACCAGATTAAAATTTTCATTCTATTCTTGTAGGCCACCCTTTCAATTCAGCCAATCTTATTAATTGCCTGTCTCTGGATTTTTTTTTCATTTTAAAAAGAAAACACTTGCCAAAAGTGGAACAGCAATAATGTAAATAAGTCATTATAGAAATGCATAATCATATAATTACATTCTTCTGAGACTTAAAACATAAATAAAACATTATCACTGAGCAGTGAAAATATTCCCTGGCTATGTTGTCTGTGCCAGTCACTGTATTTCTTTTTAGATTGCTTTAGTTATTGCATGATACCCAAACAATAAAGGCTGTTCTGAGCATTACTCATTCCCATGATTATAATGCCAGAAATCAACCTTTTTTACTTTTCATACTGAAATTCTTTTCACTGCAGACATACATGGTGATTAGTCTAAGTTGGTACAAATTTCAGGTTATCTTTGTCCTAAATCAGCACCTGGAGGATACCATTTATACCTCTGGGGCTTTGTTAACTTTGTGTTAATCTGATACTACTCTAGGATGTCAAATTTTTGCTTGAATGCTGAAGCTGTGCCAAACTGTGCTGTTTTACTGTCATGTTGAAAATAAGACAGCCTGCTTTGTCAGAGACATTTTCACTGCTAGAAAACACACTGCTGGTGTGGGCAGGACAGCTTTTCAACATGTGTTCTGATGCCATAAGCCCTATCATTTTCAGACACTATCGTCATCTTCACCTTAACTACACATTTTCCAGCGTGATGTATCAACCCATATGGCAATTCCAGCAGGGCTGCTGGACAGCCCCTTTGACCTGTTTTCACCAGGCCTGCATGGTACTGTATGAAGGCTCAGTATAGCAGGGATTTTACACTGCTAAACAGTTCCTGGCTTGCATTCAACCCTTCACACTAGAGCTGTGTAGTCTCAGGCCACCTCAGTCAGCAGACATGCCTCACAATATCCTTGGTCTCTTTCTAACAGGCTCCCTTAGCACTAACCTCCCTCCCCTTCTTACCTTAATTACTCCCTCTTAAGACTTGCCTTTAGTGGAAGGCCTTGGTTTAGGATTCACCCATTCTCCACTGTACAAAACAAGCACTTCTGCACTGTCTTCTGCCTCCATGTCCTCAGAGCAAGGACAAAACCCTTCAAAGGTGCCTCACCAGTCACCTTTCTCAGCTCTGACCTCTCCTTCAAGTACCATGTCCTCTCCTCTCCCTCCTTTCTGTCCCTTTCCCCATCGCTGTGATTCCCCACAGCTGTGTAAATACCTTTCTAGAGCTCTGTTCCCATCCTGGGGATGCTCCTTTGCTCAGATCCGAGCGTTCCGCACAATTTGCTTCCCTCACAGCTGTTGCTTTCCTTCTTTCCCTGCCTGGGCCGAACATTTGCTGTCGGTGAGAACACGAAGCTTTTGCTCTTTTGAGAGGCGGGTGTTTGCCCACGGCCCCCGCAACACCTCACGACGACCAGGCAACAAAC